TATTTTAGAGCCCCCATATCCTACACAACTTCCTCATAATTTGTTAAACCATTGATAATGACATGATTTTTTTTTAAATAATAATAAATTTATATAAAAATTTATTATTATTCATCACGCACATGAATTAGCAAGGGCTCACGCAGATCATAGGTGCCACTTCCAAATCAGGAAGGTCCTGTATATTCAGCCACAGGACCAGTCCTGTATATAGGATTTTCCTTTTAAATATTAATTGAGTCATATGAAAAACATATAAATAATTGAATTGGGCACAATTAATTTGACAACATGTATAATCACATGGTTTTACACAAAAAATTATTTCACAATAGTTATTCTAATAAGTTTGGTTGTTGCTGACGAAACATTATTTATCAGATAATAAATCTGTCTATTCTCTGACTCCATTATTTCATAATTGCTGATTTTCTATTTAAATTTCCACCATCTTTGAAGGTTTTATTGAAAAATTTATTAATATGCATATGATTTTTTTTTTCTACTGGTGAACAAGAAAATGATTTAAGACCAAATTTTTGATGGATGCTCATAAATTCATGCACATGATGTACAAGTACATGTATATATGGGTCACATCAGATGCATTATACAAGCCCTCAATAAAATTATTTTCTAAAGGATTACCTTGAGATTTGGTTAAAAATTTCTTAATCCATAATGATGCATCATTTTGAAATAGCAAAGGATTATAATTTGAATTGCACATATTATTATATAAAGCAGCAAAACCATCCCATAACTCTCTTATTTTATCAGCATGTGATGGAGGAAGAACTTTTTTTAAATCAAATGATTGCAATACTTTTAACTTGTCAGGACCCATAAGTGATGTATATGTCCACTGTTTAGAATTTTCTGTCAATGAAAATTTAAAAGGAACTTTAATTCTCTCCATTTCTTCTTGTACAGTTTTTCTTAAAGCCTCTGAGAAATTTTTGTTGCTAGACTGGGTATTTTTAATTTCATTAAATAATAAACTAAGCAAACAATCCATTACCCTGAGCATTAGATGTAATTCATCAATGACCCAATGATCAAGTGGAATCATTGAAAATAAAGGCTGTCTAATTTGACCATTGTGTAGTTTTGGATTTTTAGGATTGTAATTAACTGATAAATCTTCCATGTTTTTTGAAAACTCCAATTTAAATTAAGTTTTCCATGTTGAGATTTATTGCAAATGCAGCATTAAATCCAAGAACAGTTGCTTGGAACTTCCAATCACTTGAAATATATAAGGATACTTTCCAACACTTATCAAAATTATCTACAAAGGCATTTTCTTTAGAAAATTTAGTTCTTGAATTAAAGGATTTAAAACATTTTTTAGGCATTCATAATCCTCCTGTCCTGTATAAATTACCAATGAATAATGATAGTTGGGATTGAAAATATTTTCATGATCATTTAACAATGCAAATGTTATCATGACATGTTTTATTTTCCTCTCAACATTTCTTCCATCTCCTGAAATTCGTATATAAAGAGATTCATCACTATCTTTTAATACTTTGCTTTCAATTAACAAGGAATTAAATAATAAAGGATATCTTTAATATTTATTCAGACTCCATTTCTACATGACTCCTCTGCTACAATTATATTTTCATTGATTTCTTCTTCTGTATCATTGCCACTATCATTATCCACATCACTTGTGTCATTTTCCACAGGATTTTCTCTTGATGTATTAAAAGTGGAAATTGGTACTTTTTCAGTAATTATTTGATTGATTTTATTTCTTCTTTTCTCTATAACATATTCATGTGGTAAAGAATGAATTATTGCTGCTAATGCTCTATATGAATCTCTACTAATATTATGTTCATCCATTACTTTGACAATGGCTTCTTCAACATTTGAATTTTTTTTATCATAAGAAAGTTCATAGCAAATATCATTTGCTTCAAATATTGTTTTGATTAATGATGCTTGTTCTAAATCTTTGTTAATATTTAAAGCAGATGACTCACTACTTTCAAATGTCTGTCGAATATCTTGGCCTACTGATATAACCCTTAATCTCTGACCTAAAGTTGATAAATTATCAAAAGAATCAAATCTTTTTCAAATACATTTTTCTTTAAGAGGATTTTGTTCACGATAATTTTTAAGGCATTCTAATTGCAATCCAAACATTAATATTCCTGACTTTTGTAAATTTGATCCAAGTTTCTTTAAAATTATTCAAACCAATAAAAGTCTAATAATCAAAAAGAAAAGAAAATAATAAAATATAAATTTAATTTACCATGAAATATAAATCAGAAGCATCTGTTGTTGAATTTTCTGAATATACATTAAAATTTTCATCATCTTTAATCCAATCAATCAGAAAAACAGGAGAGTCATTTTCATTATAATAAATTGAACAAGTTATTATATTTTTTCCAAATGTTGTTTTAACCTTATATTCATCAAGAA